GTTGATTTTTCCACTGCCATATTGAATGATCCCATTAGTTTAAAAAAAAAGTGCTTGAATCTTAGCGGTTAACAGTATCAATAGGCCACGGCTCTGTATTGGAGATTGGATGTGGGAAAAGGGTAGGCTGAACGCATAAACGGTCACTGTACAAGCTGAAAAAGGCTCACTGTTCCCATTTCCTAGAACTGCAGATCTTCCCTTCGAGAAAGCCAAGAACTGGGCGATTTTTTTTAATAGGTTGCCAAGAAAAGAACAGTGATGTTAGAATTCTAAAAAAGTCGATCGCATCGAGCAACAAACAGGGCTTCCATATATTTCAGCAAAGCTAAGTGGAGCCGCTGTACTATACTCAATAAGAGCCGCCACTTTGCCGAGCATCTGCTTCCAGTTGGACCCCGCCTCTGCCTCCTCTGCCAGAAGTACAGGAAAAGATGTTATTAACCCACTCCTGTACCCTTTCCTTGAAAGGAGAGTCTGCAAAGCAGCTCTGGAACTTTGAGGGCTGTGGCTTTATGAGTTGACTGTGGGCCACGTAATTCCCAGTAGTCCTGCCGTACAAGAGTCCTGGGTAATATAACATGTTGGCTTTTAATACGATCCTAAAGCTATTCGGTTTTTAGTGTTTCTGACAATGTGAAAAACAGAGAGCGTGGCTCGGGGACTGCCCTGTCTATATGTCACTGCCGTAACAGGACCTAAATTGTATGAGGCAAGGGAGGGAAAGAGAGCAAAATTATTATATCAAGCAGTACTCTATTACAATGAAGTATTATAACCAAGCCATAGCAACCAAGATGTGTGCAGGGAAATTAATTAACCTGAGTGGCTGATTTGGAACTAACTTACCCAGTCACAGTAACAATCCTCTGCCTGCCTTTTGTATAGGTCAAGAGTGCTGATCAACTCTAGAGCAGCCATTCTCAACCAGGGTTCCATGGAACCCGAGGGTTCCTCCAGAGGTTGCTAGCAGCTCCTTGTGCTGTGGCTGATTGACCACACATTTGATGGTGCTAAAGGCCAATGCTATTTGGGAGAGCAAGCTGCATGACACCAATGCTCGTTTTAGCTGTCTATAAGGGTAGCATTCTGACCACCACTGTAAGGGGGGCATTCTTCCTACTAGCCACCAATGTAAAAGAGTATTTTTCTAATGATCCCCAATGAAATAGTTTTAGTAGGGGTTCCATGGGATCTGAACATTATTTCAAGGGTTCCACAAGGTAAACAGGTTGAGAAAGGCTGCTCCAGACCAATGTTTAATGTTTATGATCTAGAAGAAAGTAAATTGATTGTATGGATTATTTGAATTCCTGATCAATCTTAGCAACCAAAAGCCTCAGGGTGCTGACTGCAGCAAGCATCTGAAATCTAATTGGCTACTATGGGCCTTGTCGCTTTTTGTGCCAGGCTGTTTTTAAATAGATCCCTGTAATATCCCAACATTCTTTTTTTTTTGTCTACTAAGATTGTGCCATGTGTAGCCACCACAGAAGGTTCTATTGCAATGTCAAAACCCCCAAAACGTCTGTGATCTGCAGAGAACAGCAATCACCAAGCAAAACCTAACATGGCTGCTTCATTGTTCCAGATGAACAGTTCAGCCAGCGGTGTCCACTCTGAGCTAAAAGCACCAATAGTCAGAGTGACCAGGTTATTCTCGGCAATGTAAAGGCTATAAGTTCCCTCAAATAATCTTATCTGCTCAACACTTTCAAAAAATCAATTAGCGGCATTGAATATTTTGCACAATTTAGCACTGTAAGATACTGTAAGTGATAAACCTTTATAAATCAGAGTTACAGGATGGATACAATTATAGTGGCAGTGTTTGAAATCTAAGGGTCTCTACGCAAGTGTCAAAAGGAAAAGACCGGCGTTTGGGTCTGACACTCAGCAAATGCTTCCTGCCATGTGCTGTGTGAATATTGTAATGAAGCCAAGCATTGTCTTTATTTTGCAGAACACATGAAGCAATGGCCTGGCCCCATTCATTTTCTTCATCACTTTATACAACCCTCGCTAATAACACTCTCAATGGCCACGCACATTAGAATCATTCTTTCATTTCATCCTAAATGTCTATTACTATAGTTAATTTCTTGCATTCTAACCAAACACCAGCTTTGCTGATTATTGATGTCATTGGATATAAAAAAAAGCAAGATTGCCCAGAATAAATAAAAAAACGACTGAAGAAGGGCACCTCACTTTTTATATATATATAGCTCTATAGGTTGAACTTGATGGACTTGTGTCGTTTTTCAACCTAACTATGTAATGTTACTTGAAAATATTTTTCCCCACCTCATCCAATCAACATTGATTAATAGGATCAGAAATTTCGATGTCAAAAGGAAACAACACCATGGCGCAGGTTATAATAACTGACTGTATTGATCATTTATTGTTATGTGCATAGCTCATATTTCCCAACTTTCTAAAAGCAATGCCACACCTTTGATAGTAAAATAGAAAATGTCCGGATTGAGGCCTATACTTGAAAAAAATGGACAGGTAATGAGGAAAAAGCGACACAGGGATGTAGTTCCAATACAGGGACTGTCCTTCCAAATGAGGGACAAATGGAAGGTACGCATGGCCGGCATTTTAATAATATTGCAACGTGTATGGTAGCCAGGGGCGTCCCGAGGCTGGGTGACACCCGGAGCGGTAACCGAGTGTCACCCCCGCCGTGTCGTCACCACATGACGTCATCGCGCACGCGGCAGTATTCTGATACCTGCCGGCGGCCATCTTGGTGATAGACGCCGGCAGAGACAGGAGGGGACAGTCACCCGGTGGGATAAGGTATGCCGCCGGGTCCCCTCCTCTCTCCTGATACTGTCGGGTCGTTCGGTCCATGACCGTACGCCCGACTTTTCAGAGGGGGGTGACACCAAAATGACTGTGAGTCCCAATAGATTGTCCCTCTGAATAAGCACTTGTTCACACTAAGTCTGGAGCAGATGCAGAGCAGAGCAGTTACAGAACGCATCAAAATGCATCCAATGTATTCCAATGGTGTTTTGGGCTCTAGTTCACACCAGAGCGTTCAGTTCCAGAGCATGTGGAAAAACTGCAGCATGACCTATTTTTTTCTGCTCTGGAACGCACCAAAACGCATCACAATGCATGCAAATGCCCTAGAATGCACTAAAAGCCCATTTTAGGCCAAAAAAAACCCCAACCCGGAACACACTGCACTTCATGTGCAGAAAGTCATCCAGATCTGGTCCACATTTGGTGTGAACAAGCCATAAGGGACATTTGGGAGGTATATAGGGCCACCATTTAAATCAAATTGCAACATGTGTGATACTCTGGATACTTCTTCTACCAATCAGGGACCCATAAACCTTGTCTGCATTGTGCATCTATAGGGACAGTTAACAAGGAAAGAGGGACACAGGGATGGAGTTCCAATACCAAGGTTGTCCCTCCGAATGAGGGGTATATTGAAAGTATGCTTGGCCAGCATTTTAATCACATTGCAACATGTGTGGTACTCTTTATACTCCAGCCACAAATTGGGGGCAGATAATCTTTGTCTGCATTGTGCTTCTAGTCCAGGGGTGGTCAACTCCGGCCCTCCAGCTGTGCTTTAACTACAAATCCCAACATGCCTCTGCCTCTGGAAGTCATTTCTGTAACTAAGTCTTGCAATACCTCATGGGACTTGTAGTTCTACAACAGCAGGAGGGCTGGAGTTGCCAACCCTTGATCTAGAGGGACATTTAACATGGAACGAGGGACATACGGATGTAGTTTCAATAGAGACACTGTCCCTCTGAATGAAGGACATTTATGTATGATGTATATATAACCAGAATGTAAATCATATTGCAACATGTGTGGTATGCTTTATACTCCAGCCACAAATCAGAGACACATGAACTTGTCTGCATTGTGCACCTAGAGGTACAGTTAGGGAGGAAAGAGTGACATAGGGATGTAGTTCTGTAGGACTATGCCCTGTGTTCCCTATTATAGGTATAATCAATATATTGATTGTACCTGCAAATGAGGGACATTTGGTAGGTATGTATGGACATCATTTCAATCATATTACAACATGTGTGGTACCCTTTATACTCCAGCCACAAATCAGAGAAATATGGACTTTGTCTGCATTGTGCACTCAGAGGTACAGTTAGAGTGGAAAGAGGGGCATAGAGATGTAGTTCCAAAATAGTGATTGTCCCTCCAAATGAGGGACATTTGGAAGGTATATGCAGCCATCATTTCTATCATATTACAACATGTATGGCAGTCTTTACACTTTAGGCACAAATCAGAGACACATGGACTTTGTCTGCATTGTGCATCCAAAAGTATAGTTAGGGAGGAAAGAGGGACATAGGGATGTAGTTCCAATATAGAGATTGTCCCTCCAAATAAGGGACATTTGGGAGGTATGTATGGCCAGCATTTCAATCCTTTTGTGTGGCAGTCTTTACACTTTAGGCAGAAATCAGAGACACATGGACTTTGCATTGGGCATCCTCCCCTGATCAGGGCAGCTTTAGAAGAAGGAGAGGAGTGTGGAGGTGACATCTCAGTGCTGTGGAGTGCAGGCTCCATGTGCACACAGCCTGGTTGTATGTCATTGCTGCAGATTTCCAGGCTAGCCAAGCAGCTGCTCTCTCCCCTCTCCTCCTCCACCTCCTCCCTTCTCCAGTCCCCATGATTGATGATGTTGGCCAGGCTCCAGCACAAGGAAAGGGGTTTGTTCCTCCAAGGACTACGCACGAGATGAGATCAGCTCACTTCAAAGGGCCGGGGGGAGGGACCTGGGGAAGGCTTGCCTAAGAAGCCCATAAATTCCTGCACAGGGTGTCAAGCTGCTGCACAAATCCCCCAGCCATGCCCCAGACCGTATCCTAGGGAGCTTGCTAAGTGAGCCGGCTTGCCTAAGCTGTACAGCAAACTGCGCTGGGGAAGAGTGAGATCACTGCTGACTTCGAACTTTTCCAAAACTTTTTTCACCAACTATTCACACAGCTGCAAGCTTTGCAAGGATGAGCTGTGCGCGCTACCTGCTGCCCTGCCTGGCAGCCCTGGTCTGTGCCCGGATTGCCCTCGGTGTGTCTATGGAAGAGGAGCTGGTGGCCCCTGTCAGGCTGCAGGCTGATGGCATGCAAGGGGCACCTGAGGATGGCAAGGTGCTTTACCGACTGGATGCCTTTGGACAAGCCTTGACCTTGGAGCTAGAGCCCGATCCCAGCTTCCTTGCCAGGGACTTTAGCTTGCAATACGTCGGGCGACCTAAGATCGCCGGAGAAGAGATGGCAGAGGCGACCGGCAATCTGGCCGACTGCTTCTACTCTGGTACTGTCAATGGGGACCGGTCTAGCAGCGCTGCGCTGAGCCTGTGCGCTGGCATCAGAGGAGCTTTCTTCTACAAGGGGGAAGAGTACTTCATCCAGCCCAGCAATCATACCATGACTCCGGCTTCCCCCAGCCCTGGGAGCCCCCTGCTGCTGCATCTGGTCAGCAAGAGGAGCCGTGCCAAGGCTAAGTGCGGAGTGACTGATAGCACCCCCCAACAGATGGCATCGGAGGAGCCTTCAGAGAACCTCTCCCCTCCAGGTACTGCTCTGCACCTTTCACACCTCTTCCCTGAATAGTATACACCAGACTGGCAACATTCTACATTGTTTCCAGGGACACTTTGTTACTAAACTCTGTAACCAGTTATAATTTTTTTTTTTTTAATTGGAATATGAGCCCAACCCAGACTATATATAAACTGAATATGTAGAGGGTGCTGCTCAGTTTTGCAGTCCAGAGTGAGATCTCTCAAAACTGGGAACATGAGCCCAACCCAGACAATATCAACTGAATATTTAGGGGGCGCTGCTCAGTTTTGCAGTCCAGAGTGAGATCTCTCAAAACTGGGAACATGAGCCATACCCAGACAATATCAACTGAATATTTAGGGGGTGCTGCTCAGTTTTGCAGTCCAGAGACAGATCCCCAAACCTGGGAACATGAGCCCAACCCAGACAATATAAACTGAATATATAGGGGGTGCTGCTCAGTTTTGCAATACAGAGACAGATCCCCCCCAAACTGGAAACATGAGCCCAACCCAGACAATATAAACTGAACATGTAGGGGGTGCTGCTCAGTTTTGCAATCCAGAGAGAGATCCCTCAAAAGTGAGAACAGGAGCCTAACCCAGACAATATAAACTGAATATGAAGGGGGTTCTGCTCAGTTTTGCAATCCAGAGACAGATCCCCCAAAACTGGGAACATGAGCTCAACCCAGACAATATAAACTTAATATGTAGGGGGTTCTGCTCAGTTTTGCAATACAGGGAGAGATCCCCCATTCTTGGAAGCTGGCAATTATGCACAGTTTTAAAATACATATATATATATATATATATATATA